TTAAAAAATAAATATTCCAGCTCTTTTAAATGTAAATTTGGCCGACCAAAAGTGCAAGAAGAATTATTAATCACTATTTGCATACAAATAACTCATAATACTTTATTTATACCTGTGCAAATACACAGGTCGAATACTAGTTTTACCAAACACTCTTATCATATAAGCCAGATTTAAGCTAAGTCATAAACTATAAACTCGAAAGTTACTGATAAACTATAAGCTAACTTATAATAGCTAATTTTTCAATTAGTTTTACCAAAGCATACCCTAATCATATATTTAATACACTGTCATCCTTGACCTAAACAAACAAATTATTTTAGTCACCTTACGCGTTTTATGTTCCATAGCATACTTGTGACTTGTGAGTTTCTTTTTTATTTTCTTTTCGTTTTTTTTTTTTTGTTTTTTTTTTTTCATAGTTAAGATCTCAATGGTAGGTGTTTACCCCACATAAATTTTAGTTATTGTTATTCTTTTCTTAGACGGCAAACATAAATTTTTATTTTTTTCACGTGAGAGAAGTACAATTTTAGACACTTAATTTAAGAGTAATGCTTTTTTATCCACGGTGGACACATGTTAATATGACCACCGTTTATGTAGCATGCACACATTGGTGATTTTAATATATTCAATAAGTACATTACCAATGGGTTCATGCCACATAAATAGTGGACCATCGTGGGTAAGGGAGTATTAATGCTTAGAGCATTTGCAATGCTTTATGTCTAGTTTTGTCTATGTGGAATGTAAGAGCATCTACAATTTGGGTCTAGTCTTGAATATGTGGCACGTAAATAAACTCAAGTCTTGAATGACATGGATAAAACTATGTAAAATTAACAAACTCATTCCAATGCAAAGGGACTAGGTCTCTGCTTGGGTCTAAAATAGACTTAACGGTAGACGGGTCTCTTTTTTTGATTGCCACATAAGCAGGACCCAGTCTACTTTTATTTGCATTGGAGAATTAAATTTTTTAGACTGTGTCTATTTATTAGGTGTCATATAATTTTTTGGGATTGAACCCAAATCATTGTGGATGCTCTAAATGAACTTAAGTCTTGGGTGACATGGACAAAAATATATAAAAGTAACAAAATCAACTCTAATGCAAGGAGACTAGGTCTCTACTTGAGTTTAAAATGGATTTAAGGTTAGACCGAGTTTCTTTTTCTTGCTGCCACATCAGCAAGACCTAGTCCACTTACACTTGCATTGGAGAACATATTTTTTTAGACTGAGTCTATTTCTGAAGTGGCATTTAATTTTTTTTTGATTGAACCTAAAGCATTGTGGATGCTCTTAATTTAAACGTAAAATTTAGACCAGCAGTACAAATTTTGAAACAAAGCAGAAAAAATTACCACTTGGCTGATGCAAATTTGTCAAGGCATTTATTAGTGCTTGATACCCTAGTGGGCCACAGGCTCACAGATTATTCACGCCGCGAGCTGACTTTGACGTACTCGTTATTGGGCCATAAACGCTAACCTAAACACCTTACAATGGAGTCCGGACTCTCACATACCAAATCAAAGCTTACGCGGTAAGGCCCATTTTTGACCCACTACCATTTCCCAGTCAATCGGCCACCCGCCAAACAGCGCGCGTCGCTTCAAACGCAGGAAAAAAAAGGCGAAAATTGGAGGGAAGTTCATAAGCCGCAAGGCGGCAAAATTTCACTCCTCTCTCTCTCTCTCTCCACAGAAGAAAATGAAACATATCTGAGAATCTTTCAACACCGCAATTTATTAGCATCAAATTTCAACTTTCAAGCCTAAATCATCCATTTTGAGTTTTGATTCTGCATAAGTTTACATAATCTGTTCAAACCGCTACCGTACGCACGTTTCCATTGATAATGTGGCATGATCTTCATCTAGTTTGAGATTTTACGCTTGGTATGGAGATGATTGATCGTCGATGCGTTTTGTTTGGTAACTTTTGGAGATCATAGGTTTGCTTTTAATGATTTAGCCTTTTTGTTTGATTAGGCATGTACAACGAAGAATTGATGATTGAAGACTTGAAGAGATTGTAATTGCGGATTAGTTCGTTGATGTGAGGTGCTTGCTTGGCAACGGGTGCAAAAAATGTGAGTTTGCATCTTCATGTTGAAGTGTTGTGTATGTTGATATGTTACTGATAAGTTTAGTTTGATGATTTTTTATTTTTTTTTTGCTGCATTGTCACTTGCATATCAGTAAGAAAAAAAAATACTCAATCTGTAGAAAATGTTGTTTTGTTCGATGGTGTCCGTAATCATAATCAAGGTACAGGGATGGCTGATTCTACGATCCGTAATTAAGGTATGATTTCTATTCTTCACTGAGCAGCTTACTGTACTATCTTGGTACTAAATAAACAAAGTTATATGCAATCCCAAAGGTGCACCGGTTTTTTATGGACTTTGATAAATGAACCTTATGTGCAAGTCTTTCTCTCCGTGCCAGTGAAAAAAGTTGATGTAAATTAACCCGTTAATGTTTTTTAATAAATGAGATTAATTAGTTTACTCTTTTCGGTTCATTTTCGAACCTAATGAAAGTAGTCCTGCCTTGATTTGTTATCGCGAGCACTTATAGCCATATGATGTCCTAGTTATATTATAAGGTTATATTGATTTATGGGACAAACTTCCAGGCAAGTCTCTCATAATTTTTTGTTATCGTGATGCCTGTCCTATTTTCTGTGACCTTTATTTTGTATCTATCAGCAAGCATTACTACTCTTTAGGAACAAAGTTCTTTACAACGGTTACATACATTTCATGTACAAGGATAGAAGTCAATTTCTATCATGTCTTGTCTTAAAATATTTCATGTACAAGGATAGATGTTAATTTCCATCACGTCTTGTCTTAAAATCAAACTCCCATCGTCTTAAATGGATGTGTGCCATTAATACTCCATAGTTTTTAGTTTTCGGCCGCTTCAGGGTTCTCATTCTTGATCCCATTATCTCTACACCATAGTTTTAGTTTTTTGCCCCTTGATGGATCTCATTCGTGATCCCATTCTCTATCAAGGGTTCATTAGATATTGCTCGATTTTTGGCAAATATTGTTTCATTTTGCCTTTCTGGTGCCTGATTTCTTTCAACCATGGAAGTTGGCAAATTTTGTTTCATACCATGAAATTTGACCTTACCACGAGCCTCGTGCCAGTATATCAAGAATATCTGGGTTTGCATAAATTAATCATTTTTGTGAGTCAACAACACATTGGAAAATACTGTCAGTTCCTAAATCATTGCATTGTTATTTAGTATGACTGTATTTTCTCTCCTGATGAAATGTAATGATTTCAATCAGAGTACACCCTTGATTCTGGTTCATAGGATACAAGCAAACACTATCATTTTCCTGCTGCTGCTAAATTATGCACAGTTTTGCTATTGGTTAAACTAAGTGCAGTCTTGTCTAGTTCCCATCCGTCTTCCCTTTCCCTTTGCCCAACCTGCTAGCTGGAAAGTGCAATCTGGCGATGAGGGGACGTGGTGCCCTTGTTCTCTTGTCAAATCCTCTTACACAAACAAACCCTGAAACAAATGATGGCTATTGTTAGATAATCTTATGAACAACTGGGTGAACATTTTTAGAGATTGTGTGCTGTAATAGTGGAACTTCTACAATGTGATACAAACTAACACTGGTATACATTTGAAAGCTAGATCTTGATGGCATAGCTCGTGCTAAGCATTACCAGGTTGGTAATATTACTATTCTTGTGTCACGATGGTGAGAGTATCATGCTCATTCTCCTTGCTTCAGTATTTTCAGCTTGTCTAATTTACCTTGAGTCACACATCTATGTTGCATTTTATGGGGTCTGAAAGCCTACTATAATAGCTAAGGGTGAGGGTTTACAATTATACTTTGTTCACTTGGGCATGAGTGTCTGTGTTTTACTTGTCAGCCGACATCTACCCTATCATCAAAAATAAAAAGATAAAGGGGCAACGGATTTGAAGTGGACAATGGAATAACAGGATATATGTAAATGAACTCAATAGATGTCTGCTCCTTCTGGAAAAATCAGAAAAGCTCGGCTGTTTAAAACATGGACATCTACATTATGACGTGGATAGATAACTTGTTTTCCTAAAGGAAAATGAAGAAGAATATGAATTGAAGACGATGAGAAAAATAAACTCATCGAAGTTTTCAAATTTCCTTGCTTAAATATGAGTCTTCAATTCAAACCATCATAATGAACTGATCTCCTGACATAATTTAATGGTTTGGAATATGTGAACTTGTCAATCACTAGAACTATTAGTGGAAATATGGTGATTTCTTGGGACTGTTAGTAATACACTGCTAGTTGATTTTTACTTGTTTCCATCTTATGCGCACCAAACTTGTGTGACAGTTAAAGCAATATTCACTTGATTTATGTTTCTCTTTAACAAGCTTGTCCTAGAGGATAGTCATTTGCATTATTTATGCAACATCTCATATGGACAGATCTTGACTACTTATTCTTCTTGGTTTCATGACATATAAGGGGCCCAAAGCAGCTAAAAGAGCAGTGAAATTAGGACTTACCTCTCCAAAAGCAGTATTGGATCTCTTCAGTTGTCAGTCCTAATATATGGAAAGAAGTGATGCATTACTTAGTTTTTATTTAAGAGGATTGGAATTAAGTTATATATCTTTATGTAGTTCTTTTACCTTTGAAAATGGATGGTATTGATGTCCCAAAATACACTGTTCTCCGCGGCAAGTTCCATAGCCACTCTCGTGGAACAGCTATTGGGAACAAGCTACTTTCATGATCAGAAAATACCTATAGATGAACAACGTTTACTTCCGGATAAATAATCAATATAACTTGTTAATACACATCTTATCATATTTGAAATGAAAACTAAGTCCTATCACTACCTCATTTACTTGAAAATATGTGCCATTTAGGGGAAAGCTTCCTCTCATTGCCGTTCTGCATGGGATCTGTTATGGGCAGTCATGTTAGATTCAATTAAGCATTCTGGAGCCTTTATAAAGAATTAAAGAAGATGACAATTGAATCAAGAAAAGTGTCTCAGTTCTTCTCCATGGTCATTGCTTCATTAATATTGTTATACCAGAAGAGTCCCCCGAACAGTTTGAGTTTCTGCTTCTCGTATGCTGTTGCATGATGAACAGGCTTCATCTGTGCATAGCTTGTCGTACTCCTTTGAGCTGCACCTTCTTTCGGGCGGTTCAATAGAATTTGTTGTCTCACCTGAAATGTGGATTGGTTATTTCTTATTTACTCCGAGTTTGATTATCATTCGATTTGGTTTTACTTTAAAATTTCGATAAACATATATGGCATTCACCATTTGACCCTGCTAAAGTTTCAAATTCACTATAACTTTCAAGCTAATTCCAGGCTGTGTTTCCCTTACCTGGGGTCCATATAGCAAGTAGGTAAGGGCTAGGATCATCTGGTTCCCGTTTATCCATCTGCAGTTTAAGAAATTATAGTTTAATCTGAAATATACATTAAGGTGCAAGGCATATTAGTATCATGATAGAGAAATACTAACCCCTTCAAGTAGAGGATGCGAGTCTGGTAGCTCATAGCTGTACAAATAGAAACTGTTAATGATGCTTATAGTTATTACACATGCTGCCATGCTTGAGAATATTAACATATCAGTACTTTTGTTTACTAAGTTCAATAGAAATACTACATACTACTTGTGGGTTTCTGTTAAAAAACGGTAAGTACAACCACATGTCTGTCATTTAGCTCTAGTGGATATGGAATTAGAAATATTTACTTACACTTGATGCTCTGTTCTGAGTCGTCTCACATTTTTAAGTTTAGGCACAGGGATTGAAGCAGCTGCTGAAGTTAAAGCTACTAACGCCTTTGACATATTGCCCTCCTGTAGTTCTGTATTCTTCATGATCTTCTGCAAATTGTGAGTGAACTCTTCCATGTTGAGTTGAATAGTAGGAATTTCATCAGGATCTTCATTAAAAGCATTCTCAATGTCACATTGTGGAACTTGTGTATGATCTCTTTCTGGTGTGGCTGGCACTTCAATGATAGGCTCTGGTGAAGATGGCTCTTCAATGATGGGCTGAGAGTAGCTAGCGCCAGATCTAGCATTCATTGGATTGGCTTCAGGTGAAGGCAACTGCAAAGTATGAAAGGTATTCATACTTCTCATTGAATTTTGATCAGCTGTTCTGTTTTCTGTTGCACTAATGATGCTTTTATCTTCCGGGGCTGGGAGTGAAAGTCTTGCGCTGAAAAAACAATTATTAGATTCCTCCATTTAAAAATATGGTTTAATCATCTATGAATGCTCATGCCCAATTTCCAAAAGATTTGCGAAGGGGTTCCAGTTTGTTAATTGCAATATCTTTGGTGGTTGATTTGATGTTTCTCATCTATCCCTTTAAATGATGTAAGTTTCTTGTACTTGTGCAGAACTGGGATCTTTGTCCTAGTGGTTTTGGTATTATACATATTTAGTGTACCGTAAAAATAGTAAACGTTCTTTGTTAGCACTATATGATATAATAGCCATATACTGAACAAGAACATAAAAAAGAGCACTTCTCGTGTTAAATAGTAACAGGTTCCTTAAAAACAACTGTACAAACCTGGCAAATGCACTGGTAAAATGTCGGCATTCCCCCCTCATTGGACATGCATTGCAATTTGGTTTGCTCTTTGTGCAGAACACCTGACAATCCATACCACATTTTGTTATGTTTTACGAGATTTACTGTGGTTCTCATGAGTTATACAGTATATCATTAAACATTTAAGCCATACCTTTCCAAATGTAATCATTTGATAATGCAGCTCATATCTGTAGTGAGAGAGGAAAGTATATGTCATTTAAGGGAACCTGGCTTATAGTTTAAATTTATTATAGAAATTTTATACTGATAAGGATTAGTTACAGTGTTCTTTGATCAAGTTTGCAGAGCCTAGGCCACAAATATTTTTGAATAGACTCTAATATCGGGTACCTACAATTTACAAAACAAATCAGAACAAGTAAATCTCTATCTGGTGTCAATTATTTATTGGAAAATATGATAGTCAATGAAATGCTTACAGTTCTAGTAAATGTAGCTGAAGTGACTCAGGCAATGGCTGAAGAGGTACCCACCCTAATCGTACTGCTATACGACCAACATTAGTGTCAACCTTTTAATGAAGATTCAACTGTGTCAGTAAAATTTTTTCCATAGTAAGTAATAATACATTGTTGGCAAGCTTAAAACTTACCGGAAATGCAAGGTGATGCAGTGTCAGAAGTCGGACACATTCGACACTCTTCAAACCCAAACCCCTCATGCTCAACAGATACTCTCTAAAATAATGAAACAAACATTTAGTGCATAATCTTTTTTTTGAATTTACAAATATTAGTTGTGAGAGTAGCAAGCTCACTTTGCTTTGTCTGGTGGAACGTCCCTTAGCCACTCCAGATCGATGCTTCCATGATCTCTAACAATGCGGTTAAGGAAGTCCTGCCGAAGGATTAGGCGACGAGTTGAATGTACAATAAAATTCAATTTGTGTTGAGTGTATGAATGAAAATATACAGTCTTGTTGCTGAAAATAAGAAATGAAAACCTTAATTCTTTCTGCTAAAATATTGTTCATTCCCCTTTCTTTGATAGACTGAGCAATATCATTGACATCTGCACATCTTACGGCATCCCAGTCCACGGAGTCCATAGTATTGACTGTTCTTTCTCTTTCTTTGCCACCTGCATTTGCTTGTTTTCTCAAGTGATCCCAGTTCTCCTTATCTTTTCTGGGTCTTCCTCCCTTTCCTTTAGGTCCACCAACCTTGCCTCGATGTTTTTCAGCATCACTCTTATTTGAGTTGACTTCGATGTGCTCTGGATTTTTTAAATTATCAATGTTGCTACTACTACCTGTAATGTCCGCCAAATTTTGTGGATAGATTAAACCTTTTGAAACCTTCTGCATATTATATATCTCCTGATACGAACTCTGTGCAGAGACTTGATCATTATTACCTGAGGTAGCATTCATACTACCTTGGTCATTGTTATCTGAGGTAGCATTCATACTTGAAAGTTTTGGTTCTTCTTTGAAGCAAACATCTCTGATCTTCTGAAATGCAGTTCCATATACAGATTCTGAAGACGGTTCACTTATCTCACCTAAACATGGGTCTCTGTTGGTGGAACTGTTAAAGAACCGGCTATTTTTCTTGCACAAGTCTAATAATATTGCTTGTGATCCTGCATTGGGCACATCACACAAAGTAGAGTTACTAGGTGAAGTTGTTTCAACAGGGTACATAGGACTGTCCAAATGAACTTTGTTTTGCAAATCAAGAACCAAACTTCCTGATTGGCATTGGCGATTATTTACATCAGAGTTTATTTTTTCACCGCCTTCGTTAAAATTCCCATGTAATACAGTGCCAGCCATCTGTAGAAGCTTTATGAATGAAGTCGAACTGTCAAACCCAATTGATTCAACACAACCTTTTAATTCTTCTGAGGTGCTTAAAGAATCAGTTCTTCCAATGGTTTGTGCTATTTGGGAATTGGAAGAGTTCTGGGAAGAAATATCTGGAGTCTGAAAAGAAATTGTGTCTTCTGCATCCCTTCCATCCTTAATCAAGCTTTTTGGCTTGTTTGCAGCAGTTTCAATGGACGTAACTAGATCATGTTTAGATTTGTCCTTTAGGAAAAATCCATCAGAACTGTTTTTTGAGGTGTTGACACTGTTCGCTTCTCTAATGCTATCACATTCAATGACTTCATGCCTATCACCATAGATGGATTCATTCAATCCAAAGTTCCCTTCACGATATAACTCACAGATCTCTTCGGTGCATCGTTTCTCTTCACGTAATTCTGCAGGTTGAGTTTTTTGCTTGAGCGGAAATCTAGCAGCAACCGACATGAAGGCAGAGCTGCAAGAGTCAAGAGTGTATTATTGAAGGTGTTCCCCTCGAGACTCATATGTTAAGGAAAACCTACAGTTGAGAAATAAGATAAAAGACAAATAAGTTCAACCAACCTGGAAAGATGATCTGAGACATTTTGAGTTAGAAAAACGCCAACTACAGAGTCAACGACTGATCCTTTCCATGGAGAGAATTGTCTGTCTCCTGCGAGAATTTGCAACATATTTAAGTCTAGAAAGCTGGAAACAAAAGGACAAGTGCACACACAAGTTCTACAATATGAAGATTTATCTTTTGTGGTTTGGTTGAAACAAAAGTAAGTTCTTACTACTTGTAAGGCATGGTTTCACATGTGAAAGTTCTGTATACATCAGTTTATTGATATTCAATCTAGGTTCAAGTTTGGGTTGCTCTTGTTTAATAAGTTGTGTTCTTCCTTATTGATTTTGTTGTTGTTGCTAGTTGGTATGCAGAGCATAGAATGGGAACAATTTTGTTTATTCTCTTTTGTTATTGGGTGCTTTATTTTTACGTTTTAATTATCTTTGTGTCTGAAAAATGTGAATTTTTGTAACACGAAGACACTCAACAACATATATGTGCAAATTTCTGACTTGGTTTAAATTATTAATGGGCAAAATGCGATGTTTTGTGTGTGTGTGTATGTGCGTGTGTGTCTGTGTGTGTGTTTCCTCAACTTGCCTCCTGATTTAAACATGTGCACAAAAGCATGCTATGTTTTCTGCGTTTTCTAATCCAAGCAACTTTGATGATTTCAAATGGTTTTAATAGAATTACCAACATTAGTACCAGTAATTCTACTTTTTCGTGATTTGCCTAGTTATATTGTACGAATTATCTAAATTCTATGTCACCAAAGCTACTCAGTTTCAGCTATATTATTTACCATGTTCGGCAATAGCAAAAATAACACTGCTTGTACCTTGCACAAGACGCATGCGTGCGATAAATGAGTTGGCTCTACCATTGAATATTCTACGTTCCTCTTCCCACCATTTTGTCTTTTCCTCATCTGTTCCATCAATGCCTTCATTATTGATGTTTTCTAACAGAAGTTCCCACACTCTAGTTGTCTCATCATCAAGGATGACTTTAGGCCGTGGCCGTCTTCTTCTAGCATTGTCAAATGATCCATCAAAAGGGATCAGTGCTCCACTTCTCTGAAACGGAACAAGGGCACGTTTCTCCAGGTACTGTGAGTGATACGCCTTAAATGCATTCCACTTTTCTTTGGATGTTTCATTCGTCGCATTCAGGTCCAGCTTGTTTAGTTGCTCCGTGATTGAATCAACAGGTGAAATGGTTCTCCATGTCAGAGCAAGTGGTGGTCCTGCAATAAATGTTCATTTAAACAAAAAAGGAACCACTATTATTAAGGTTTATTATTTTTTTTTGTTGATAGTAGCATAATCCAGTTGCATTAGAAATACCCATTGGTATAGCAGCAGACTTGTGGTGATTGTAAAAGTTCTGACCTATTGAATTAGCAAGCACACTTCTATTTGTGTGCTTCTTTGTTTTCAATACTGTCCGTGTGTCCGCCACAAGGGCTTCCATGCATGTGGGTGGTTCATGTGGAATTGTAATCTTTTGTTTTGTCGCGGATGGTGGTGTTACTACTTTGCTAGTAGATGCTGGCTTCTGTCTACGGATCTCCAATAGTGAAGCTAAATTCCGCATTCGAGTAGAGCTTTTGGATCTCTTTTTCCTAATTATCTCCTTAGGCCCCAAAGCCAAGAGATCTTCATAAACTTCCCGTCCTGTCTGAAGAGCATCATTTGCAGGACTAGTCCTCTGCAGATTAGCTATATCGTATGGCCCACCGGAAAATCCTTGATTACCCTCTGATGTAATCTGATTTGTGCAAGAATCTCTGAGAGTGTGTACTTTGAGCTGTGAGCTGGATGTTCCCATATTGTAAACTTTCTCGAATTTCTTCTTTTTGTGAATTATTGGGAAGTGTAATCCAGGAAGAGCATTGCTCTTATCCACATTTTGGGAAAATAGAGGTATGTATGCCTGCATGAAATTATATGCCTCAGTCTCGTTTCTGTTGGAGATTTCCGATACCTCACTTGTGCTCACGTTCTGCCTCTTCAGGCCCCTCAACTGTCTTTCTGGGACCCAGAATATGCTGCTGCACATGGAACTGTTGGGAGTCATTCTTTCTTGAATGGAGTTTGTCTCTTTATCGTGTGTTACATCCAAGAACACAATTTGGCATTTTCCTCTAGTAGGTCCAGTATGATGCCCTGCCATGTTATCTTCCTGCACTTGATCCATAGATTGCGTTCGTTCAGGAGGACTCGTAACGTCATCTTTCTTAGTCGTTCCTTGTCCGTATGGCCTGGCTGTTTGAGCTGTCGAATGACCTTGTGCATAGAGGTTCCCATCACAGTTTGAAGATGGATACTGAAAGGAAATCTCCCCTCTGGCCTGGCTGTTTGAGCTGAAATTCAGTGTTCGTCTGCAGGAGCTTTGGGAGATCCGAGAGGCCTTCGAGTTAGGTGTTTTTGTGGTTTCCTTATCCACTTCACCTTCAGGTTTGGCAACTCCTTTTCTCCTCGTGTACTTTCTCTTTCGAGTTAGAGTATCCAGAGAAGTTGGTTCCTTTTTTTTTGGATCAGCTACATCAGTTTCATTCCCCAAAGGATTTGCAACTCCTTTTTTCTGAACATATTTCCTCCTGACACTTGTTGATTCCTGTGATCCAGCGGGTTTTTTCAAGCTTTTCGGAGTACTCTTCTTTTGACCTTCGATTATGACTTTGGGCCGGTGTTTTCTCCTCCGCACCTTCTGCTGGGGCGTTTTGGTCAAATCAGCCTCATCTTTGCCACCCTTGTCAGGCTTGTGATTCTCCCGCAACTGGTGGTTCGATGTGGCTGAGGACTTTTCCACCTGGATTTGGGCATCTTTTCCTGTAGGCTCCTCGTCTATGGTCAGATCTATGACAGTGACAGGAGGTTTATTGATAGGCATCTTTTTCTGCTGATAATGCTCAGGTTTATTGACTTTCTGAGGTGTTATAGGCTCGTACTGGAATGATATACTCCTGCTGTATACTGAATCCGTAGTCATTTTCGGTGTTGCATTAAGATCGAAGGACAGCATGGAAGGGATTGCACCCACACCTGTTTGAACATGAATGCAGATTTATATTATTACAAGGATGCAGTGTTATCAAATGGCGGCCATGGCGGCGCCATGGCGGTATGGCGTGGCGGATTTTTAACAATCCGCTATGCAAAATTTGTGAATGATGGCGTTCATGGCGGCGCCATAGACCGCCACGGCGGCCGCCATGGCGGCCGCAATGGCGGAATTTTGGCAAAACGCCATGTACCGCCATCCGCAATTAATAACACTGCAAGGATGATAGAGATGAAAAACAATACTTAGATTATCATGAAAACAAAGTTATAAAACATAAACTGTTAATTTGATTTATAGTTACAACTCTGCTCTACTTTTTTCCAAGATGTTCTTCACTTTGATGCATATAAATTCAAAATAAAAAGATGCTAATGGATATTACTATTGCTTAACTTGCTCTGTTATTACAATGCAGGGAATTCATGGCTTATTTTCTCAATGTTCTCAACTTGCACAACATGTCAAGACAAGAATTTCACGCGCTAATATAAAAACAAGTGTTGCCATTTTTCCCTGCGTGAAGGCTTCGCAAAGCTCTGTTCCGATTTAAATGTTTGCCCAAGCAATTCGACTCAGGCCACACAGTGTACAATTCTCATAGCACGTTTTATACTGACCTCGTTTGATTGGAGGGCGAAAATGGGGGCCCCCAAATTCCAGTTGTCGTCCTCTCGGAATAAAATCCTTCTCGGAAAGTGCATTTTGCAAGGCTGCTTCACTTTCATCTGCATCAGCCAGGCCCAAGAGCTTCTGAAAAGACATGCTGGCTAATTTGTCGGTCATCCTCTCGGGTTTCTGCGAATAATCTCCATAGACATGTGAATCGGCGGGCACGCTGGTTTGCCAGGTGTCGAAATTGGACAGATTCTCTTGCCAATTACCGGGAAGTCTGCTTACATCAATGGACTCCCTACCGTGACCCATTGGTACGTAACATGAGTGTGTTGCTGTCTGGCATTGTGCCATTTGCATGTAGTCAGCCAATAAATTTCCTGTTTCAAACGAATTTGCCCGGGAAGCCGGGCCAATTTGACTGCATTGGGCCTGTGCAGCCAGATTGGGCCGAACAAGTTCATCTGGTTGCCAATTTCTATAGATTTGACCGCATTGGGCCTGCCTGGCCCGATTGGGCTGAACAGGCTCGTCCGGCTGCCAATTTTTGCAGATCGGCTGCTGCGCGATTGAATCGGGCATCAAGGGGGGGATGTGTGGGCCCAGAAGCAGCCAAAAACTAGAAGTCTTTCAGAGTTTCAGCTCTGGAGAAGCTCTTTTTCATCTGGCCGCCATTAAAATTGGGGAAGACTTCTTCTGGTAATAAAAATCCTGTCATTACCCTTTATTTTATTATTATTATTTCATTCTCCTCTTTTGTCTTGACTGTGACACTAATAGTGATTAGAAAAAAAAAATAAAAAAAATTAAACAACAGTAGGGGAAGAATGAAGATAAATAACCCCAATTAATAGATCTCTGCAAAACAATAAAAAAAGGACAAACAATTTATGTGATTAAAAAAATAGAATAAAGCAACAAATGGTGTATATGAAAATATTATTAAAATCTCCATTAAAAAAAAATAATAAAAAATAGGCCATTAAATTAATAAAATAGCTCACAACCTTTTCAAGATTAGAGATATATAGAAACGAAAAGTTTTCAGAAAAGAATCTGCTTTTGAATCATGGGTTCTTTTTATTTTACTCGTAAGATCAGTGAAAAAATACAGTAAATTTCAATCAAAATCGAGGAATCTATGAATAGAAAACTCACCTAACCTGTTAATCTCTCTGGTCAAGATCACGTGAAAACAGAGGACAGAAGAATAGAGAAAAACTGATTGATTATCAGATCAATTGTTAGAGGCGATACAGACAAAGTAGGAGAAAATAAACTAGAAATAGGGGGTTTTTATTCAAGCTGCGTGAGTCCTGCTGATCTGTTTTGGTAAACCTGAAATTTGTTTCTCATATAATCTGTGGAATGAGATTTGTTAGAGCGTATCAAGTCGTGCCATATTTGTATAAGCCTCCTGGGCTGTCATATTTAAGCGGGAGTCGAGTCGCTTAAATATGACAGCTATATAAGAAAGGAATAATAAAATAATGATTTTAAATTCGACGAATATTTTATTAAATAGTGTCTTTTTGATTCGAAAAGTCGTTAGGCGGGTCAGTTCGTTTTTGGAGTCATATTCTCCATTTTGGAGAAAAATGCAAGAAAAGTAGGAATATTGCAAATTTGCAAGTGGCAATTTGTGGATTTAAATTTTTAGTGCCTCAAACAAGACGGGTGAGATTTTTCGATGGGGGCCAATAGGGCACCATAGAACAGGCGTTTGAAGCGGTCTAACCACCCTTGGGCAAGAAAATTAGGCGTCACTAACATACATGGTACATGAAAGATCTTGATTTTATATGAGGATTTTGTTGTTATTATATGTATTTAATTATGATTATTCAGTATATTTTTGTTGTTGCTCGTAATATATATATATATATATATATATATATATATGGGTGAATCAAATGAGGACAACTCTTAAAATGCGGACGACTCTGAGCAACTACAGACAACTACCTTAGGAACTATAGATAACTAACCAAGCAACTATATAGAACTAACCTAGCTACTACTAATCTAGCAACTACATAGAACTAATTTAGCAACGACTAACTTAGCGACTAAAGAAAATTAACTTAGCAACTATACAGAACTAACCTAACAACTACAGAGAACTAACTTAGCAACTACTAACCTAGCAACTACAGAGAACTAACTTAGCAACTACAGAAAATTAGCCTACAACTACAGACAACTAATCTAGCAACTACAGATAACTAACCTAACAACTACATAGAACTAACCTAACTACTAACCTAGCAACTAAAGAGAGCTAACCTAGCAACTACAGAGAAGCGTGAGGTTAGTTTTTGGGATGAGTGGTGGTTAGGTGATAGGCCGTTGTCTAGCGATAGGCAGGTGTCGCATTCCCCCTATCTGCTTGTGAGCGACCTGTAGACGGACGGGGCGTGGGATAGGGGGAAGCTTGATAGAGAGCTGGGTTCCGGGGCGGGTTTTAGCGAGCAGTTATTAGATCAGATCCAGCAGATCCCCATCTCGGGGGACGGTTCGGATGGCA